CTAGTTAACATTTCTTATGCTTTTTCATATTTTGTTAAAAATAATGCTTTTTATTTATCTGAATTTCACTCATTGAACGATTAATATGGCATGACCTTTTTTTATTTCACATTGAACTTTTCATAGTTGTTTTTGTTATTAGATATAAAAATGTAATATGATAGTGTTATTCTATTTTCTTTTAAAATGTAAAAGTTGAATATTGGACATGATATTATTTTAAGGTATATAATATTATGCTTGTTCTCATAGATTATTTCCATAGGTAATTTTGTTTATGCATATATATGTAGTTACTTTCTTTTGTCAACATATCTATATATTTACTAATCATGCGTGTATATACTTATATATTTAAGTTAAAAAATAAAGAAAAAGGAAAGAAGGAATTTGTGCCATAGAAATCTGGATTTTCGTGGGCTATGTATAATTATTGTGGGTATAGGTTGGCTTGATTAGTATGCTAATTAGTGGGCTAAATACAAGAAAAAATTAAACATCATTAGTGGGCTAAATACTTGAAAGAGTTTTACCATGTCACATTTAAACATTGCTATGTCACAATAAATTTGGGAGAGTGAATATGAAGAAAACACATAAATTTTTTCTAAAATATCATTTCCCAAATAATATATAAGGGATTGTGAAAGTGATGGCGGTTTGAGAAGGCGCGTACTGTTTAGTTCGAGTCTCATGTACCTACCCAAAGAAAAAATTATTTGATGATCTTGAGCATTCATAAAATAACCTTTAGGCAAGGAAGAAAATCTAGCTGCACTTACATAACCAAACAACGCCTGCAGAATCTGCATATCATCCATGCACTTTTTGATGATCATCTGTCTAGTACGTGCACCAGATTTTTTAACAACATCTAGAAAGCCACACTTGGTATTGCTGTAATCCAAATGAGAACAAAGGTTTACAAAACTATTTGTTACATTGTGAGTCTTAACTTCAAAAGCGAATGAAAGAATCATGCTCACCCAATCGGAAGCAGCTGGACAATGCAGACAAATGCAGGTTCCTCGTGGTAAGGCAGAGCAAAGAAAACCAAATCTTCGCAATTGTATTCGTGAATACTGAGAACAACATTACAATGTTATGAGCTTATGGATTATGTGCTACTACCAGACTGCAGGGTACAATCTTGATTTTCTCATGATTATTACAAAAGAAAACACAACAAAGTATGTGATTCACAAATCACCATGTGTCCTCATGGTACCTCTTCTCCTAGATATCAAAGTTGTCAGCTGCAAAATGTGAAAATTTTCAACACAGAACAGAATGAATGACACGATGTTCTGTTGTCTTGCAAACTGGTAAAACTTGAAATTGAAAATAAAACAAATTTAATATTTTGCTAAATAAATATGATTCAGCCGATGGATGGCGTCACAAACAACGCATACATACATTGCTATTTTGATACACACGTTTCATGTTGAAACGTATATACGGTACATCTTTCGGTATAAGCATATTGTGCTTTCAATTCTGATAATAAGTTATGTAAAAAAATAGATGCATTCGCTTCAAAATGGCCAAAAACTTTAGAGATATACATGCAACAAAGAAAATAAACCAGCAACATGCCATGAATTGTTTTTTTTTCTTCCAATCGAGGGTATTTTTTAATAATCTCACATTTAGGAAATGTTGTACCTAGAAACTTTATACAATAAATTTTTTTTTTTTTTTTGTAATAGTCGGAAGTAGCTTCACAATTTTCAATATTATTCAACAACAAAGGTTTGTGATTCACAAAAGACAAATCACGACGTGTTCTTTTGGTACCTCTTGTCATGCCATACGCAAAAGACAAAAGTTTAATAATCGAACCAACAAAACACACATATAGAATAAATGAAGAAATTCAAAGGAAAGAGTTAAAAACACATACCTTCTCATTATGAAGTTCTTCCGCACAAAGCCAAATGAATGAAATTATATTTTTTTTGGCAAACTGATAAAACTTGAAATTGGAAACAAAGACAAGTTAAAGCAGAATGAATGAAATGATATTTTGTTGTTTGGCAAACTGATAAAACCTAAATTGGAAATATAGTGGTAAGGAGACAGGCTTGTGACGCCAACACATTACAAGTTCGATCCACATGGTACATGAAACTATAACACATTACTTTGGATATCCACATGGATATGGGCCCTTGCTTTCGGCCTATTTACGTACCCAGAAAAAGAGTGTATCCATGGGGTGCACTTTTCCCATGGATTAGTCTGGACCCCTCCATAGACCTTGAGATTTACACTGAGTCATAAAAAAAAATGGAAATAGAGAAAAGTTTATTAATTTAGTTCAAGAAGAAAAGACTAACATATAGATTACCTTTGTTCTAGTTCAAGTGAGTCATGGATTAAGTGAAGTAGTTTAGAAGAAAAATCTTGTTAGACAAGACATACTCGATCTCTTGAACAAGCATTCCCAAAAATCCGTCCTTTACAGTGTGGGCATCACCACGTAGATGTACCAACTTCTCAATGCATGCAACTCCTTTAAGGTCATATCAAGACCAAAAAAGGGTTCTAAAGAAATGCAAAGATTTATATTATCAATTAACACACAAATTAAAACTTAAAATGTCACCTCATTAATTATCGCTCGATAGCGAAATCAAAAGGCGGGAAATCTAGAAAAAAAAAATTAGTCACCATTCAACAATGTTGGAGCAAAGATGCAAAAGAATTTGAGACTCTCAATTTGGATAAAGAAATATACGCCTAAAAAACATGAGATGGAAACACAATGATCAGAAACTAGAATCCATGAGCTCTTTCAGTTAAATTAAATAGTGGCAAAAGTGCCCGTAGTTTTTTACTTTTTTTCGTGAGCCAACTTTAGAAACATAATATTATCACATTTGAAATCATGGAGCCCAATTCGAAGGCCCAGCAGTGGAGAGAAGCGATATGTTCGAAGTTCAGCAAGTAGTTATCGAAGCAAATTTGTTTTTTGTTTTTCTCTTTGAAACCTTAACCAGATTTGTCTGAACCAGATCTGAGCAGAAGGCGCTTGACAAATTTGTAAGAAATTCCCATGACAATTATTATGCAAAACGGATTTGAATCAGTTTTTAAATCAATCAACTTTATATGAATCCAACTCCCTTCACATACTCTCTCAATTTGACACAATTTCAAACGAATTAATTTTATAAAAAAAAATTACTAATTAAATGTAAATGATTTTATTAGCTTTGATTAGTGGATAAATAGGAATTCAGTGTTAAAATTCACATTAAAAACATAAAATAAACACTTTAAAAAGTAAAAAATAACTTTTAAGACAACTTTTTTGTAAATCGGAGACGCGCCTTGTGATGCGTAATCATTCCGTGACCTACAAGTCTTAACATATTTATAAAAAGGCTTAAATCATAATAGTTGACTAGTTGTGGAGTGTTTTTTTTGTTACAGCCTTTGTTTTTCTTATAACTATTGAAGAATGTCCGATCTTCCAGAGGATGTGGTGAGGGAGATATTATCTAAGGTTCTATCGACATCTCTGAAGGCAGTGCGATTGATTTGCAAAACGTGGAACGACTTATCCAAAAATCAGATTATTGGTAAAGATGCAGCAGCAAGGACGCTGGTTATGACCCTTGGTTCTAGGGTTTATTCAATGAAATTGGATCTCCAAGGGATCCGCAACCAAAAATACTTTGTTTATCCATCTATTAAGC